ACTAGAAAAATGGTCAGAATTGTGGCAACTGACATTTAATGTGGATAAGTGCAAGATAATGCATCTTGGACGTAAAAACCCAAGGGCAGAGTACAGAATATTTGATAGAGTCCTAACCTCAACATATGAGGAAAGGGATTTAGGGGTGATTATTTCTGATGACTTAAAGGTAGGCAGACAATGTAATAGAGCAGCAGGAAATGCTAGCAGAATGCTTGGTTGTATAGGGAGAGGTATTAGCAGTAGAAAGAGGGAAGTGCTCATGCCATTGTACAGAACACCGGTGAGACTCACTTGGAGTATTGTACACAGTACTGGAGACCGTATCTTCAGAAGGATATTGATACCTTAGAGAGGGTTCAGAGAAGGGCTACTAAACTGGTTCATGGATTCCGGGATAAAACTTACCAGGAAAGGTTAAAGGATCTTAACATGTATAGCTTGGAGGAAAGACGAGACAGGGGGGATATGATAGAAACATTTAAATATATAAAGGGAATCAACACAGTAAAGGAGGAGACTATATTTAAAAGAAGAAAAACTACCACAACAAGAGGACATAGTCTTAAATTAGAGGGACAAAGGTTTAAAAATAATATCAGGAAGTATTACTTTACTGAGAGGGTAGTGGATGCATGGAATAGCCTTCCAGCTGAAGTGGTAGAGGTTAACACAGTAAAGGAGTTTAAGCATGCATGGGATAGGCATAAGGCTATCCTAACCATAAGATAAGGCTAGGGACTAATGAAAGTTTTTAGAAAATTGGGCAGACTAGATGGGCCGAATGGTTCTTATCTGCCGTCACATTCTATGTTTCTATGTTTCTATGTTTCTATGTTTCTATGTTTCTATGTTACTGTGTTGATTCCCTTTATGTATTTAAATGTTTCTCTCATATCCCCCCCGTCTCGTCTTTCCTCCAAGCTATACATGTTAAGTTCCTTTAACCTTTCCTTGTAAGTTTTATCCTGCAATCCATGAACCAGTTTAACAGCCCTTCTCTGAACTCTCTCTAAAGTATCAATATCCTTCTGGAGATACGGTCTCCAGTACTGCGTACAATACTCCAAGTGAGGTCTCACCAGTGTTCTGTACAATGGCATGAACACTTCCCTCTTTCTACTGCTAACACCTCTCCCTATACAACCAAGCATACTGCTAGTATTTCCTGCTGCTCTATTACATTATCTGCCTACCTTTAAGTCATCAGAAATAATCACACCTAAATCCTTTCAACCTAATGTTGAGGTTAGGACACTATCAAATATTCTATACTCTGTCCTAGGGTTTTTACGTCCAAGATGCATTATCTTGCACTTATGCACATTAAATGTCAGTTGCCACAACTCTGACCATTTTCTAGTTTACCTAAATCATTTGCCATTTGGCTTATCCCTCCTGGAACATCAAATCTGTTACATATTTTTGTATCATCAGCAAAAAGACACACCTTACCATCAAGACCTTCTGCAATATCACTAATAAAAATATTAAAGAGAATGGGTCCAAGTACAGATGCCTGAGGTACCCCACTGGTGACAAGCCTATGCTTCTAATATACTCCATTGATTACAACCCTCTGTTGCCTGTCATTCAGCCACTGCCTAACCCATTTAACAATATTGGAATCCAAACTTAAAGATTGCAGTTAATTGATAAGCCTTCTATGTGCAACAGTGTCAAAAGCCTTACTGAAATCTAGGTAAGCAATTTCTACTGCACCACCTTAATTGATTATTTTAGTTACCCAATCAAAAAAATCAATAAGATTAGTTTGGCATGATCTCCCTGAAGTAAACCCATGTTGTCTCTGATCTTGAAATCCATGTGATTTTAGATGTTCAACAATCCTATCTTTTAACATGTTTCCATTACTTCCCCACTACTGAATTAAGTCTTACTGGCCTATAGTTACCCCGACTCCTCCCTACTACCTTTCTTGTGAATAGGCACAACATTCACTAACTTCCAATCTCCTGGGACTACTCCTGTTAACAATGATTGTTTAAATAAATCTGTTAATGGTTTTGCTAGTACACCACTAAGCTCTTTTAATAGCTTTGGGTGTATTCCATCAGGTACCATTGACTTATTTGTCTTTACTTTTGACAGCTGAAATAGAATCTATTCCTCTGTAAACTCACATGTAACAAATGACTAATTTGTCCTTTTTCCTAACTGAGGCCCCTTTCCTTAATTTTCATCTCTAAATACTGAACAAAAATATTCAGTGACACATTCAGTTATCCTCTTCTACATACCTTTCTTCTTTTGTTTTTAATCTAACTAATCCTTGTTTTACTTTCCTTTTCTCATTTATGTATCTAAAAAATGTTTTGTCCCCTTTTTTTACTGACTGTGCTATTTTCTATTCTGTGTGTGATTTGGAAGCTCTTATAACTTGCTTAGCCTTTTTCTGCCTTTTTCTGCCTAATCTTATAGATCATTCTGTCTTCCTCACTCTGAGTTTTTTTTATTATTACTAAATGCTAACTTTTAGTTTTTTACTATTTTGGCAACATCTGCAGAGTACCACAGTGGTTTCTTGAATTTTTTGCTTTTAAGGACAAGCCTAATGCAATTTTCTGTTGCCTTCAGCAGTGCAACTTTTAAATAATCCCATTTCTCTTGGACCCCATTTAAATTGCTCCAGTCTGATAATGACTCCTTTACACATATTCTAATTTTACAAAAGTCTGTTTTTCTAAAGTCTGTTTTTCTAAAGTCTTGTTTTTGTGTGGTGTGACTCAGTCACTGTTCTTATATTAAACCACACTGACTGATGATCACTGGATCCTAAACTTTCACCTACAGCAATATCTGATACCAAATCTCCATTTGTAAACATTAAATCTAGTATGACCTTTTTATGAGTTGGCTCCTCAATTACTTGTTTTAGAGACAATCCCAGTAGGGAGTTTAGTATATGTGTGCTCCTGGCACCACCAGCTATTTTGGTTTTCCAGTTCACATCAGGAAGATTAAAGTCACCCATGATTATAACTTCCCCCTTCATTGTCATTTTAGCTATTTCCTCAACTAGTAGATTATCTAATTCTTCTCTTTGTCCTGAGGGCCTATAAATCACACCTACACGAGTTAATGTGTGATTACCAAATTGTAATGTAACCCAAATGGACTCTATGTTCACCTCACTAACTTTTATTAGGCTAGATTTTATGTTATATTTTATGACTAGTCTCCCCACGTGGGCATCGTCCAATCAGCAAATTCTGCCGTCACTCCCCCCTGGTCACATGCCTTGTGACAGATCTCGTATCAAATCAGAGCCGGTGTCTATTGATTAGTGACCAATCAGAAGGCAGTAAACATGGCAGTACAAGCACATGTGGGGCACACACAGCAGACAATACTTTACAAGTTGATTGCTACAATGAGTATATAAACCGATACAAGGTTATGCCAAAGCTTATTTCTCCTGACGACGGCGTGTTAGAACGCCGAAACAGGCGTCAAGCTTACATTTATTTATTTTTCTTTTCTTTTGTTCACTTTGGTAGCACTTAGTTATGAACTATTTAATTTAAGTTAATTCGTTTTTAGCTATCTGAACAGGAAGGGAGAGGGTTACAGGTAGGCATGTGTGGTTCACCACAGTGCAGAGGTACACAGGAACAGGACCCTTTTATTAGTGGTCTCTGTTTGGGTTTGGGTCTTGGGGAGACCCCACTTAAAGAGGTATTTACTTTTATCCCTCAATTAGCCCAGTGACGTATGTCTTTCCTCTACTTACCTGTTTTTTTCTATCCTTTAGCTTTGATTTCATGTAACCTAGGCTTGCATAGCATTAATTGGAATAGCCTGGGCATTTTCTAGCTGGATAGTAGTTTGGGTCTGGATGCGTTTTGACACATCTTTTCCATTACCCTGGTCTCCCCATTTTTTCCCTGTTCATTTTATACTGTTTTCATCCTTAGGACTATTAAAGGTAGGGAATCCTTCCCATTTCTATTACTCTTCTGTTTAGGACCTTACGGTTCTATCTTTTTCTTTTTACATAGATTTTATGTTATCCTTCACATACAGGGCCACCCCTCCCTCTTCTTGCCTTCCCTTAATTTTCTATATAAAGAGTAACCTGCTATTGATCAATGTATACTTTGACAGTGTATCGACTGGAGTCTGTATTAGCCTTTACACCCATCTCAGACCATGATCTCCATCCCTATGTTTTGTCATCAACTTACTTGAAAGATACAAATGAAGCTGACACCGTATTTCCTGATTTAAATAGAAATTATTTCTATAAATGAGAAATTACAGATTAAACTATCTAGAAGTTACTCTTTTTATTTGTATTTTATTAGAGGTTTACAACTCAACAAAATTACATCTGAATCACAGTATTCATATAGGCAAAACAAAGCAATATGTTGACAGGTGTGTCTGTTTTTCGCTGTGGCATCATCTTTCTGAGATTTGACACGAGGTTTTGGCAATCTGCTGCTAGTTTAGAGATGTGTGTACATTACTAAACATTGGTAAAACATAATTACTCAATAATGAACAGCATAATTATTGGGGTGTCTATGAGGTGCGTGCTTAGGGGGTGTGATATATTTGGTCGCCTCTCAAGGGGACGGCTGTTGGGTGGTGGTGGTGGGGGGATGTGATTAGCTTTTAAGTGCTAGCATGAGGTGTGACCTATGTGGGTGGTCGTGAGTTCGTGAGGGGTATCAGGCAGGATTCTGTCTTGGCTTTGTCTGTGTTAGTCCACTTCTGCGTGCCTGTTTAGCCTTCATTTCCCCGCATCTGTTCTGGGTAGTGTCTCTGGTGGCAAGGTTTAGTAGCTTGGTCATCTGCCAAGGTTAGGGTGAGTGTCTGGTCCCCCTTCTGAACCTGCAATGAGCCATTAGTTCCCCATCTGTAGCGGATAGTTGCCTCTCGGAGCTGTTTAGCAATCTGTGTCACTTGCCGCCGCATCATTAGTGCTGCAAAGGGAATGTCCCCATTCCACTGTGTGTCCCTCAAATCGTATACTATTCATTTCTCTTGAGCAGGACAGAATTGCGGCCTGCGTCGCTACATCCCTGGTCACAACTATAGTGTCCCTGGGTGCGTCGTTTGGGGGCGGCCGCTGCTTTACGGATTCGGAATGCTGTAACCAGTGTGCTTGGGTTTGTGTCGCCTTTGATGCCAATTGTGGCTATCAGTTTTTGTAGAAATGGTAGTAGGTCATTGACCATTGTGGGATGCCCCACAGGTGGACATTCCGCTTTCTGTGCCTCACTTCCATTGTTGTGAAGTTTCTTGTTAGACTTTGGACCTGTTGTGAGAGGTCTTGTATTTGGTTTTGGGTGGCTCCCTCTCTGCCTTCCACCTCTGTAATTCTTGTCTGGAGGGCCCCCATCTCCTTCCATGTTTCTTTGATGTCCGCCTTCCAAACCTTTGCATTTCTTGCAGGAGGTTCCTGATGTGTCCCTTTGTTACTGGGGACGAGTCTTCTTCGGACTCAGAGTCCCGGTCATGGGCCACCGTGGGTGGTGAGGTGAGGCTCTCTGTCATCTTGAGAGTCCTCCGAGGCCTCCTCCTCATTGCGCGCCTCCAGCTCCATCTTGGTTGGAGGCCTCTCAAACAAGAGCCTAATGTCGGCTTGTTTGTGCGTCTCTGGCGGGCTGAATTTTTTTTGTTTTCGCCCCATAACTGTCTCTGGGGTGGGAGCATGGTTAGGGTTGCTGGAATGGAGTTGGGTTACCCTTTGTGTGGTTGTTTGTTCCAGTTTCCTTATGGAGCTCCACATTCACACGTCTGTTTGCTGGTCGGCCACGCCTTCCGAACTTACTCTTTTTTTAACTAAACCCAAATGCCATACACAAAAAGTAGTTAAAACTGGAATAGGAATATGACTTTCTAATTGCAACAACTGTTTTTTTTTGTCAATCGATTTTTACTAAGGTATAAATGAGTGTATAAGCAGAAATGAAGCAGAGCATTGATTCGGATCCATAAAATTTCACAGAGATTTGGAATACCTAATTTTATGTTTAAGCATGAGATCAATGTCGATTAAGACATCCCAAAGACAAAAGCAGCTTACAAATAAAGAAAACATGTTTATACATAACATTCACTATGATTGGATGTGTAAGAAACATCATAGTATTGGGGCTATACTGAAACAGACAATAAAATGTAAAAAAAAAAATTTAACAAAATAATTTTCAAATAAAGTTAAAGCCTGGCCATAAAGACAGAAGATGCCTTCCAGCTCATGAAAGAGATTGATGCCTGACCTTGAATGTATCTGACCTCTTGTATTCAAGGAAAACCATTGTTTTGTTTTGTTTTCTTCCCTTTTTTAAATGTCTTCACATTTTCTTCAATCTTCTATATTGCATTCTTTTTAAATCCCCTCTGCTACCTTGTCCCCTTTTACTGCATGCACAGCCATTTTGAGTTATCTTTGGTCAGAATCAGCTGACCCAAGATTACTTTAACTTTCCAGACTACTGTACATTCAAAGAGTGGTTACATCACCTTTTATCACCATGTAAATACCGCAGGCTCAAAAGAGTTAAAAAGACCAATCTACAGATAAAACTGCCCAAATTGAAACTGGCCAAAGTGTTATGACCAAAAAGTATAGAAAAAAAATCAAAGAGAAAAAGAAAATCAGCTTTCTTTTAAGATGTGGCTTTTGGTAAGATGTTAGGTGAACCATAACTTATAGAAAACTATAGAAATGTTTTCCTACCATCCATGCTTTGCTCGTCACCCTTGTTTTTACATGTAGTAACAAGCTTGATTCTATTACATAGTTTGGAGTGTTTCTGGTACCATTCTCTCTGCACTCCCCCTTATCTGTCACACACCATTTCACTCTATGCATTTTGTTGCTGATCTATTCAGCAATTGCATCCTTTCAGCCAATGCAGAATTACACCAACATCGCACACAAAGTCCTTCCAGCTCAGCCAGTTGATTAGTTTGATAATATTTTCTTTGCTCACTTAAACCTGAACCACAGAGCACATCGACCTCTTAGGTTCTTGTAACATTTAACGCCCTTTAATTCATTTTGCAAATATTGTGTAGACTTGCTTTGTTCATACTTTCTTCTGGTTTACCTTAATTCCTCTTGCCAAAAAATGGGCAAGGGAATCACACTGATGCTTCCTCACACATTAACTGCATTAACTTAGAACTCGTATATAATGGTCAGACGTATGCCGTTCTTTCCTAGCAGTGTTAGATCTGAGGAGAGCACCAGAGCAAGTGTTCTCACAGGGAAATCCAAGGTAGTCATAATTGTCATTTACTCCCTTCAGTTGTTCAGTTGCTCTTTTGACAGATTGAGATGCAGTTCCTGACAGCTCCCCTTTTCTTATTTTGTGTGCAGTGCTAAGGAAGTTTGTATCTATTCTTGAGGGTGTCAGTAAAGTTTGAGTCCTCTTCCCCCTCTCTCTATCTTACATGTTTGTATCTGTGAGTGTGTGCCATGTAAAGTCATGGGGAAAAGAAAGTACACTCTCTTTGAATTCCATGGTTTTACATACGAGAACATAATAACAATCTTATGTTCCTTAGGAAGCCTTAAAATTAGTAAATGTTACCTCTGACTAACAACACATATTATTGATCATCCGAGGTTGTATTTATGTAATTTTAAGACCTGCCAAGGGACAGATGATTGTTATTGTGTCCTGATATGTTAAACAATAGAATTGAAAGAGGGTGTACTTTCTTTTCCTTGTGACTGTATAACGTGTGTTTTTGCCATCTAGCAATAAAATGAGTAAGTAAAATGAGTAATGTACAGTGTCTAATTGTGTATGAGGACATAATAAAGCCCTTCAGCTATAACATTTGCATTAATGGGCAATGTGTGTGGGTACCACATAGACTCAGTGTAATAAATCACACAGTGAAAGGTATAATATATGAGAGTATCACATAAATCTGTCATGCTGATACAAAATCATCAAGCTGTGCCAGTCAAGAACTGTCTCTCGATCTCTGCCTGCTTCCTAGTGAGTTTTGATGGATGCCATTTTCTGGATAGCCACCATTGTGCCATTTTCTTCTCCCTTGGCAATAATGAATGTGGCGAAAGAGACCTCGCCACCATTGCTTGGAGGGGCCCTGTGACTATGGCCCCTGGGCTGTATTGCCCTTCAAAAGCTCTTTTGGGCTTCTTGGACCTTAAAGTACTCTTTCTTCCCCTTTAAGTTACATTGGAGCAGTTCTGCAACTTTAAATTGGCACTTCGGATGCAGCCGAAGTGCCGAAATAGTCGAAGTGGCCGCCATTAGACAAACGAACAAGTGGCGTCGGCCATTTTAAATCAGTCGAACTCGTTCAGCGGTGAATGGTTGTCGAGTTCATGGAACTCAAATCAGACACTTGACGGCATGAACACCGCTGAACTTTACCTTCTCTGTACTTCGACTGGAGTTGAACACCATTCAACCATTCGAATGGCACTTTAATATTGACATGTGCACGAACGGTGGCCGTTTGCCTGTTTGAACTGAACTTAACCCAGGAAATAGACCGACCACACAGCCAAATTCTTTGAACTGTTTTGGGCATGAAATCATGCGTGCGGTCGGTCAAAAAGAGACTTCCATGGAACTTTTGAACCCCTGCTCTGATCTGAGTGATTTTTGGATATGTTGTTCACCCAGATCAGGGCTATCCAGGGATTTTGGGGATATGTTGTGTTTTGGGGTGTTTTCTATACTTTGGGGAAAGTGTGCATTTTTTTTCTGCCTGTGGATAATTAGGTTATTGTATTAGCTGCTTTAATTATATCCCAGGCAGAGGGGAGGGCTTGTGTGCTGTATGTGGGAGTGTCGGATTGTTCTGATTGGTTTGTATGCCTGTGTTCCATCCGGCCCAGGGGGTGTGCCTCTGGTCTGAGGAATTGTATAAATTGTGAATGCTTGCTTACATTAAACAGACCTGCTTGACCCTTTCTTGAAGCCTTGGCTCCTGCTTGGGGGATGGGATAACTACACTCTTGGGGATTGTTATATCACAATACTCCCCTAAGTATAAACTCGTTCCTGATACACTCTCTGGATCAGTATAGGTCTACCCACTGGGAGCTGGATCCTGGTCTTGGGTCCAGGATGGCTGGAGGACGGTGAGACCCCGGCGCAGCTGCATCGCTGGAAGTGGGGTCTGCAGTATTTATGGTGTCTGGTGCAATGCTTGGAGTCCTCGGCAAGCACTAGGCGCATCGATTGGCGGAGGTACCAGCGGTCCATCACAATGAATTAAAAGATAGTCTTACTCAACCATGATTGCAGCTTTCCTTGATCTTCATGATACTGCTTACTTAGCTAAACTCTCTTACAAATTTTGTGGTTTTCAAGAATAAGTATATTTAATTTGAGTTAATTTGTGTCAGGATAGAAAACAACCCAACACGACGAATAGTCACACAGGTGAAGGAAGAGAAAGGTACATATTCCTGGTCCTTAGAGAAGCTGGGCTTAAAGTAAAAAGAACAGAGAAATAGCAAGGTCAATAAACATCCAAACTCAAGGATAACAGAGGTACATAAATTGGATTAGAGAAGTGAAGGTTGGGGATACAGAGTCAGGGAAAGGAAAGACAAAATACCAGGTAACAAACAGGATATAACAAGCTCTCAGATAACCAGAAGGAAACCACAACATGGCACTGATGTAAAGCTCAAGTATTTATAGTCTTACAGCGTTTCCTTAAAGTAAAGTGGGCAGAGCTACAGCTTCTGGTGTCAGCAAAGGTGTCTGCGGGTGAGAAACTGATGTGGTGCTTACTTTGAAAGGTAGGGGTGCCAGGCGAGTGGCATAGTACAAGGGTATGTATTTTTACATTATCCTCTCTTGAGAACCACCTTTACGGCAGGGAACATGGTGATTGAGGAACATGGCGTGAAAGAAAGTGAGAAGCTCAAGACCATGAATATCAGAAACCAGCACCCAAGAACACTCTTCCCAATCATAACCCTTCCAGTGTACTAAATATTGAAATTTACCTCTGGAGAAATGAGAATCCAAAACAGACTGCATGTTGTATCCCTCCCTACCATGGATCTAGACAAGCAGAGGACTAACTACAGGGGCTGTGAACTAGAAGCATAATAAAAGTTTCAATAAAGAAATGTGGAATACATTAGGTAGGTGCAAGGCTGGAGGTAGAGCCAAAGCATATGAGACTGGATTAACCCTACAGAGTAGGGCCAATAAAATGAAAAGACAGTTTTGGAGAAGGAACTCGGAGACAAATGTTTTTAGTTGGCAATCACACTCTGTCCCCCACCTGATATATATATATATATATATATATATATATATATATATATGCTGAATTTGCTCCCACTTTCTTCATAAATCAGCTATATGGATGCTGACCATAAACAATGAGGAAT